AAACTGCTTCTGGTCTTTTCAGCCATGTAGGCAACAGAGGTCATTGTGGAGATGGCTTTAAGTGTGCTAAAACTTTTTCCTCTGTGTTTGTCAAATGACTGGATTTATTGTATTTATTTGAGTACTGTCAGTATACATATGGATCAGGATCTGCTGCTGTTTTTTCACAGGAACAGTAGCCAGGAGCAGACTAGAACTTCATAGTATGTGAAGGATGACTTTTTCATTACTCCTTTGCTGAGGGACTTTGGGATTGAGCAAGTTTAATTGTCGTGGTGGCTATGTGCTCCCCAAGGATGCCTTGAATCTTTCCTGAAAGTCTCTTTCTCATCTTGTGCCAGTGTGCTTATTGTGTGGTGCAAGGAGCTCTAGGACCCATAAGGATGCTGCCAATAAAGAGCAGGCTGTGGATCAGGTTGACTATTGGTGCAAAGTGCCCATAGAGAGGGATGGTAGGGAGAAGATAGTGAGCCAGATGAAAATGTTCTGAAGGATTAATTGTGGCTTTTGGTTGAACCTGAATGAGAAATATTTTGAGGGAACTGATCTACATGAACTGTACTGTAGCCAGGTGTGGAACAGGTATTGCTAGAGTGATTCCTTTTTTTGTGTGCGAACAAAATAATCATGTATAAACAGTTATGGCTTTTGTTGGAGAGATTTTGTATATATATGTTAAATTCAGCTGGGTTGTCAATGGAAAAGATAATGGTGATTTGATAGGAAAAAAATCTATATAACTTATTTTCAGCCACTCTGCGAGTTTAAAGCAGCTGCTACCAGAAACTTGACTATTATTACATCTAGAGAAGGAAAGTGGTTTTGATTGAAATAGAGAGAAAATAATCAGAAGATTAGGAAAAAATACTTAACTTTACATTATTCCCAGAGAAAGGCAGGAAAACTATATTTGTATTTTCAGTCTTGACACCTTCAGTAGAATGCTGATACAGGATCTTTAAAATGGTGTCTATAATATGTCATCTCACTCTGAGAGTTGTCCAGATGGGAACTTTTACTCTAACTGTCTTTAATCTCTAGTGTGAATAGACTTCTAACTAGAATTGTTTCTCCAAAATAGTTTCTGTCTTGAAAGTGTTATTCCAGTTGGCTGACATGAGCCAAAAACAATTCTGAAGCTATTAAAAAAAATTAGATGATATGGATAACTGTTAAGAATTAGATAGTTAATTTATTTTCTGTTTCTATGATATGAAAAATGTTACTACTGTAACATGTAGCTGATTTTTAACAGACTTATTTAGACTAACAGCAAAGTGCAGCCTAAATCTGGGAGAAAAAAATCAAAGGAACACAAATAACTTAAATTATTTTGTTGCATTGAGCATTTTATGTTTGTGTTTGCCTGAATAGAGATGCTAATAAGCATTGAAAATAAATACGTGTGTGTATATGTATAAGAAGAAAAGTGTATAATACAAATACATAAATATGCATATAAATTAAATATTTGTTTAGTTCTCAGTTAAATCTTATGGTTGCAGCCTTTAAGTACTCTCAGAACAGGATGCTCCGATCAGGAGTGTTCCTGTTGCTGAAATACAGTCACCTCATTTAACTTGCTACCAGCACCTCTTCTCTGTGAGCCAAGTGACAAGAAGTAAGATCCGTAACACCTGTATTGCAGCAGCAAGACTCTTGGTCAGGCACAGATTTAGCTGTAGCATGAGCAGAATCCCTGTGGTAAAAGCAGAAGCAGGGCTGATCTCTTTGCTTTGGGAACTAAACCAAATCCTAGGAACTTGTGTGCAGCACACTGTGTGAAGAAAGTACAAATTTGGTCATTCTAATTGCTTTTCCATTAACATCCCTGAATCTTTGTATAAAAAAAAATTAATTAGAATAATCTTGTTTCAAGAAACAAGAGAGACAGCTTCAATTCCATCAATGGAGAAGGCTGTTGATGGTGGTGTTACCATTTATATAAGGTAAATTTTATAAGTCCTGGCTTACAGAAGACGACTGTGTTAACAGCTGTTGTCAAAACCACTGAAAAATAAGAAAAATTCATCTTTCCCTGTTTTTAGCAGAAAGCAGTGCAATAGCGTATGTTGGGTATATTGGGGCACTACAGAGGAAGTAAGAATGATGCAATACAAGGAGCCTTTATGGATAACCTCTTTACCTTATGTTATATGAAGGTGAAACACTTTCACAGAGTTCAGTCTTTCATTGAGAGAGTATGCTGGAGAAGTTTCTGTAATTAAAAAGCCGAAATAGGCTTTGGACAACTCTGGTGAAGCTTTCTGACTTGAAGCAGGCTTTTTAACTTGCCTATTATCTTCTGATGGATTGACTATTATTGTGAATAAAGAAAGCTTTCTTTATTTCACTTAATTTTTGCTCATGGTTTGATTTTAATATGCCAAGAAAATGTTAGGGAAACTTGATAAAATATGGCCATAGACTAGGTGCAAATAGACATAGAGAGCTGTCAGTAAGGTGCATAACAAAAGTTATTACTCATTTGAGAAGCAATTTCATAATATTTTTAAGACCTTCTCTAGCCTCTCACTAAGTCTTTAATGTAATCTGAATGCTTGTGGGAAACATTTTTAAAAGTAATGGTGTTCAAGATCCCTGTGACTTCTGCTATTTCAATTCTTTGGAAATTACAGCTCCTGGTATGGGGAATCAAAATAGATCTATCAAGATGTAAATTTCTCTATGATCATCAGGAAGAACAAGTTTTGTACCATTCTTGCTTATGGAACAGCACTGTCTTGAATTAAAATACCTTTTAGTATGTAGAAGCTAAATCTACAATTTATGCCTTGATCTGTGTACCCCAGCATCTCACAGCTTCAGGCCAGAAAAGTGAAGCTTTTAAATTTGCTTGTCAGAGTCTATTTTAGTCCAGGTCAATCCTTCTGCTTTGGGAGTGGGGAGCTGGGTTCAGGAATGAGTGAATGAATGAGGCAAAGGTCAGGACTACCCCTTCAGTATCTCTGCCAGGTCTAAATGCTGATATCATCAAGGCTGCAATTCCACAGGTAGAGCTCTTTGCAGAAACAGGAATCCTCTCATTCCAGTTTCATGAAGGGTTACAAAGCTTTTCCTCTCTGTTCTTACGAAAAAGGCCTGACTAATCATTTATAACAGAGTAAAAAAAAGGAATGCTGTTATGAAACAGTGTTAACCCATTGCCAACAGAAAGCTACCTAAAGCAATCTTCCCCAGTTAAGAGCAAGCCCTGCGAGGTACTCAAATTTAGTAAAATTTTCCAGATTTACTTTGAAAAAGTACTTTTATTTTTTTTCTTCTTGGAACCTTGAAGGGGAAGAACTTTGTAGTTTATAGTGATGTTTTGGATGCTTTTCTAAATTGATTTTAAAGATACTTTCATTTTAATGAGAGTTGGGAATATTTTCTGTGATATTTTCTATGATCACTTGAGAAAAGAAATGGCTCTTACGTCAGAGAATGTACTTGTACAGTGGGAAGATTTTACAGGTTGTTGCTGTATTTAATCTGTCCAGGCTCCTGGCAGTTTTCTGCCTGCTTGAAAACCTGTTCACTTCTTTAACACTTCAGAAAGAGGGAAGATTAGCAGTTCATATTACTTATCTCACTAAAGAGGGAACAAACCAAACCAAATTGTGAAAGTCTATAATAATCCAGTGGCTACATTTTATCTCTTTTATACATAGCTAAATCTGAGACTTGTATTTTTCCTTCCCTCCTTGTTCTGTGGAATAAATGTAAAGATCAAATTTGTATGCTAATGGAAAAAAATTTGTATTAATATATTATCATAAAAACCTTTCAGACATTGACTTCCATTGTGGCTAGATAATGATGTTTTTTCTGCAGAAGGCAGATTTCGCAGCAGACGTAAATCTGGTAAATCAGACCTTATGTTTTGGGTGGGTTTTTAAAGTCCATGTTAAGTTGGCTGCAGATACAGAAACTCAGCACTTGAATGAATGTAGGAGCCAGTATGTTTGGGGTGGTCTTCAAGTACAGTTGTTCTTATTGCCTTGTGAACTCATGGGCTGGTTTGTCCTTCAACCCCTGTGTACAGCATTTATTTAGAAGCTTGTTCTTGAAGGATCCTGATATCTTTTGCACCAGTGTAGAGGTGCATCAGACTTCCTGATGCTTATTCTGGCAGAATTTAAAACTTATGTAGTGTTTTAAAAACTAGTATGTGCAAGTGTCTGTGTCCCATATCTTTGTTCTCTTGATTTTTATATATCAATAACATTTATAAATTAATTAGATCACTTAAGTCTGTTAATGTGTGACATAAACTCAGCTTTCAAGGCTCACTGAAATTTTATGGCTTCCTTCTGAGAGTATCAGTAAAAGCTGCATTGAAAATTGACTTTCTTAGTTTAAAACAGGTATGCCATGATAGAATATGAGGCTTTTTAGCTATGTTAGGCCCAGTTTGCAGAAATAATTTAAACTGTCTAATGTGTATTGGCACTGTGATGGTGATTGGTACAAGTGCATATAAAGGATGTGCTGAGATCCTGCACTGAAACTTTCATGGTTTATTCTTCCCCTCTAGGCTGTTGTCTTGCTCTTTGTTTTTCTGATACTATTATGCTAATATCTTTGCTTTTGGGCAAAATTTATTCATCATCATTATGATGCTCAGTAGTACCCTGTAGATTTAAATGTCATTGTCTTGAGAGTCTTTGGAGATATCAAGATAAGGATCCTGATGGTTAAGGCCAAGCATGTATTTTCATATATCCAATAAGACTTACAGCAGGGAACTGTTGTGTGCTTGTCTACAAATGAAAAAAATGTGTTTGAATGAAACCTAAAACAACATGTTACTCCAGTCCTGGCAAATGTTAGTATTAAATGGTGAGATTCTTATGATCTGTCTTTTGTCAGGAGACACAGCGTATCCTACTTCTTGCAATAAAAATAAAGTTTGTTGCAGGGAAAATTTTGCTTTTCTGATCTTGTCCTGCCTTGAGTATAAATATGTCACATTTTACTTTCTTTTTTTTTTTTGGCAGGTTATTTGGGAAGGGAATACTTTGTTAAACACAACAGCACAAGATGACTTATGATTCCTGCTCTTCATGGGAGCCTGTCTGGATTGGTATGTTTTGTGCTTTGTTTGTTGGTTTTTGCTTTGTTTTGGGGTTTTTTTGCTACACTGATGTATAGTGATTGTAGGTATAGTCCACTTAAAATTTAGGAAGCTAAGCATTTAGGAAACTTCCAACTTGTTAGCTGTGTGTTAATACTAGAAAGAGACTATGAATTAAAATAATATATTTTCAATAATGTTTTCAATGTTCTAGGTTCTACAGTATTTAATTAGCTCTTCATCATGAATATAGTTAATATGACCACTGAGCTAGTGGGAAAGTTAGAAGTCAGGGAAATATAACAGTACAACATATGAACCTAGAACTGCATAAGTCCTTTCACATGATCTACAAATTGAGAACATGAGTTTTCCCGAGAAAATTGGAGTATTCTTTACATTTTGCGTATTTGTGGTTTGCAATAGTAATAATGATTCCCATGGCTGACATTTCTTGACAGTTAATGGCTCTCTGAATTAAGGACAGAAGGAAATATCCTCAAGAGGGCAATTAGTTGTACTAAATGACCCAAAGCAGAGGTGACTGTTTTCCCACAATTGCTAAGGTAGTGTTTATAGAGTGGGGAAAAAAGGACAATTTCCTAAATTAAAGTAATGCCTCTTGTGAATAGTTTTGCGGGTCATCTACTCATGCAGTGTAGTTGATTAGTTTCAGTTTAGGATATGTAAATATGTATTAAAACTGAAAACTGCTGGTTCCTTTTAGGTAAGAACATTGTCCCTGCTGATTTGTGCTCTGACTCATTCTTTGCACTGGCTTTAGCAGAAAGGATTCCACTGCAACATGTTCCTGCCTCTGCTTAATTGCATAGGAAACAATGCTTGATTCATATTGAGAGGGGTGTATGTCCTGGGCTGCTTTGTACTATAACGGGGTCCCAGAGAACACATACTTGAGTACTTTCTATTGGTACATAAATGGTTTTGAAAACAATAAGCCCATGGTCTTCATGCTTGTTGTTATTGTTTTTCCCCTAGGAATATTTTGCTTTTTACATGGATTTTATATTGCAAAAATAACTTTTGCCAAGTTTACCTTTGAAATAAGACCATTAATAGTAGGTATAAAGCATGCAGAAGCTTCCCATTTGTAACCTTAAAATGTCCCCAAGAAATAGGATCACTGTACCATTGCTAGCTTCAAGTTTCTGAATAAGAACAACAGTTTTGTGTGCTAGCCCAAATCTTGATGCTGGTCAGTATTGAAAATATGCTTTTAGCAGACAAATATATTAAACCATTGAACATTTTGGCAGCTGTGTGCTGATCTGCATTAAACCTAACTGTTATTATGGCACTGTTAGGTTCCCTGTTACTGGTTTTGACTGATGTTGCACCTTTGCATATAAGATATAATGTTTTATTTCCAGTTGAGCATGCTATCCGAATTTTGAACTGAGACCTTTTAGCTTCTAAAGCCGTTAAAAACAGATGCCATAGTTCTAGCAATAATTATATTTGATGAATGGAATTTGTGTGTTATTTAGCTTTAAGTATGTACTTCATTGAAATAATTATATCTATTATGTTCCATAAAAAGAAAGTTGCATATGAGTGAGAGCCTTGCTAGAGAGAAAATGTGCATACGCAGTAAATTTCAGCACTGAAATTGAAAACAGTGATTGTATGAACCTCTTTTGCATCTGAAAAGAACCTGTGAGAGTACATGTTCCAAAAGTGAGAACATTGTGACAAAAAGGTATCTATCTACCTCTTGCTTGAGCATTTGACCATCAATAGCCTTACCCACTTAAATTATCAAAGCATGGTTGTCTTTTACAAGCTATGTGATTACCATTCAGCAATGACTGTGGCTTAGAAATTACAGGATCTGTCTTTCTCAAAGAGCAAGTGAGGACTGAAATGAAATTGCTGTGAAGTCATGTTAGTGGTTCCTTTCATCTTATATTTCTGTCTTTACATAATTTTTTACATAAAATTGGAAGGGTAGGAAGAAGGATGGGAGAACATGTTTAATAATCATGTAGATGCTCATGGTAGAAGCCCTTTAAGTAGAAAGAAAATAAAAAAGGAGAAAAATTTACTTATGACCGGAATAGAAGGGATCCTCTCAAATTTATTGGCTGAATTGTCAGTCACTTTTATAAAGGATGATAACTGAGAAAGAGCATTGCCTGCAGGTTAGATAAGTGTAAATACAAACCACATCTGAACATGCAGATTCAGTATGCACTGCCCAGAGAGATTTCATACCTCAAAGTGATAAACAGAGTAGAGAGAAGGGTGTTGCCTGGAAATCATTAGGAAGCAGTGAGCACAGGAGCAACACTCAACAGTTACTTTTTATGCTGGATCCAAAGCCTGCAGTCCTCTTACTGGGTTAGGTGTCTTTGCAAGAGTTGATCTCCACTCACTCTTTCGTCCTTGGAAAGATACAGCTGATGACTTATGCAACAGCCAAATGGCCTCCACTCACTTCCCACTTCAAGCAGCTGGCTGGGTCCAGGCAGCAGCTTGCATGAGGTCATTCTCCTTCTGTTAACGCCACACAGGAGAACATACAAGCATCACACTGAGGGGAGGAAGCACAAAATAGGAGGTAGCTATTTGCATAGCGAGCTGGGATAGTGAGAGAGCGTATGTGAGATTACTTTTCTTAGACACTTTCCCTGGGTTTGTTAGGGATAGGCTGTAGACGTCTGTGAGTCCTTTGTCCTTTGCTATAATCTAGATGCTCCTTGTCTTGAGAAATGTGGGGTAGCACAATCTTTCTAACTGAATTAAGGGTGCAGAGCACCTTTGCTCCTGCTCCCCTTGTCTGGTTCCTTCTGTTTAAAAGGAAAATTTATGATAAAGCAGTATTTTCTAAAACTTTGATCCTTTACTGTGGAATATTAGCAGTTGTTTGGTTAGTTTTTGTTTCATTTTTTCCTTTTTAAAGCTTTTATGATACATGTTACCATCTAAGCCTCTTCTAAACTTCATACTTCAGAGTGTAAAGTTGTGTCACATAAAAGATGTAAACTTAAGCATAAAGGATGTAAACTTGACCTAAGTGAGCAAATTCTGTTGTGTATATTTAAAATTAGTCCAGTAACTGCATATGTATGTGCTCAAAAGTCTGTATTCAAATCAGATGGCCATATACCCTTTGCAGTCAGCAGAGGGAGATGGGTGATTCACCTCTTCCTGACATGGACATCTGTATAAAGATCATGTGAAATATGTCCTAAATTGCCGTCTAAATCCACAGAAGCTCTATGGCATCCACAACATCCTGTGGCAAGTATTTTCACAATTAATTGTGAAATAATAATTTCCAGATCTGGGCTCCTCAGAGACACGGATGTGCTGGAGAGAATAAAGTGAAGGGCTACAAAGATGATGAAGAGACTGGAGCATCCCTTCTGTGAGGAAAGGTTGAGAGAGCTGAGACTGTTCAGCTTGGAGCAGAGGTGGCTTAGGGGGATTTAATCAATTTATATATATATATATACCTGAAGGGAAGGTGCAAAGAGGACAGGTGCAAAAAGAGCCAGGCTCTTCTCAGTCATGCCAGGTAACAGGGCCAGAGGCAATGGGCAGAAGCTGAAATAGGAGGTTCCCCCTGAGCATCAGGAAACAATTTTTTTTCCACTCTGAGAGCGACTGAGCACTGGAACAGATCTCCCAGAGAGGTTGTGGAGCCTCTATCCTTGGAGATACTCAAAAGCCACCTAGACATGGTCCTGGGCAACTGGTTTTAGGCGGTACTGCTTGAGCAGAGAGGTTGGACAAGATGACCTCCAGAGGTACTTTCCAACCTCAACCAGTCTTTGTTTTTGTGATTTCTTTGATTTTTCCTATTCTTATGTTATGAAAGACAGCAATCATCCACTTTCCCTGTGCCACTAATTCTGTAGACTTCTGTGATAGCTTTTTCTAGTCACCTTTGAATAGAGATCAGGTGGTGCAGAACTGAACATAGTACTGAAGATAAGAGGTGCCATGGATATATATGTAGCAAGTAGCGTATCTGAATACACAGTGTATACAACCTAGCTCCTGATTTTCTTCTCAGTTTCTTTGCTAACAATTCTGAGCACTTGGCTGATGTTTTCATAGACCAGACTATGAAAATTTGGAGATCTGTTTTTCTTCTAGATGATAATTATTGGTTTAGTACCTGTTACTGTGCAGATAACTTTTTTTTGGTCCAGGCATAGCTTTATCTCTAGCACTGAATTTTATTGGGCAGACTGATAGCTTGCCACTCCTTTTCAAGAGATCCCTCTATGCCTTTTTATAGTTGATCTTAGTTTTTATTATATTGCCCTGAAAAACAGTTCATGTTCATCATCAGCAAATGTCATGGGTTTGCATTTCCCTCTTCTTTTCTGTAGCTTGACGAGCTTGAACTGCAGTATAGATTTTCTTTGTAGGATCATTCTGGTGACCTTTTTTCTCTGCCAAACTAACTGCTCCTTCTTTTGTTTCCTGTTTGAAACTGATTATTGTCTATAGGAGGGTTTTATATTTATCTAATGGCAGATTAGTTTCTTTTAGAGCCCCATTGGAGAGACCTTGTCAAAGCCAATCATAAATGCAAAAGTTACCTTTGCTGGCTTATTGCTTACAGAGCTCTAAAAGATACTGCCCAGGGGATCTAATTTTCTTACTCCAGGATTTTAAATTCAGAATGATTTATTGAATTTATTCTCTTTTGCAGTCCCTGCAGAATGCTACAGCTTCCTTTCCTCTTCAGTGTTCTTGTCTTGTGGAGTCATAAACCTCAGTGGAACTTTGGGTGAGATTTTCTTGTTCATTGCTAAGATATTTCTTACTTATTCTGGAAAGTTCTGTTAACCTTTTTGCTGTTGGTTCCATACTTTATTCTAAAAAATATGTTAAGGATGACTAGTAAAGGAAAAGTTTATAAAGACCAAAGAAAGACTACTACAGATGCCTTAGCCTATAATTAGCATTAATGCTTTCTCTAAAATAGTTAGTGTAAAAATAAAATTAAAGATAAGTAATGGGGGCAAAAATCTAGAATAAAGTTAATAGAATTTTTCATTTTTGCAAAAATTTCAATATATGTAGCGAGTATGCTTTTGCTGAGTTTTACAATTTTTGAAATATAATAGGATAAAATAGAAAATCATGTCATTCCTTCCCATTCAAGCAGTCAGACTTCTAGGAAGTGGAATTTGTATGAGTCTCTGTTGGGTTTGTGTGACAAGGTTTTGGTAGCAGTGGGGCTGCAGGGGTGGCTTCTGTGAGAAGTAGAACCAATGCCAGTTGGTGCCAAGACGCACCCACCGGTGGCCAAGGCCGAGCCCATCAGCAATGATGGAAGCGCCTCTGGGGTAACAGATTTAAGAAGGGAGAAAAAGTTACTGTGCAGAAGCAAATTGCAGCTGGAGAAAGGAGTGGGAATACGTGAGAGAGCTCTGTAGAAGGGAGGATGTGCTCTGGACACCAGAGCAGAGATTCCCCTGCAGCCCGTGGTGAAGACCGTGGTGAGGCAGCCGTGCCCCTGCAGCCCATGGTGGTCCACAGGGGAGCACATTTCCACCTTCAGCCCCAGGAGGACCCCAGCCAGCAAAGGTGGAGGCTGTGCTGCATGGGAAGCCTGCACTGGAACAGGCTCCTGGAAGGACCTGTGACCCTTTGGAGGGAGGAGCCTATGCTGGAGGAGTTTTGCTGGCAGGACTTGTGACCCTGGGGGTGACTCATGCTGGAGCAGCATCTTTCTGAAGGACTGCACCCTGTGGAAGGGACCCATGCTAGAGTGGTTCAAACTAAAACTGCAGCCTGTAGGAAGGACTCATGTTGGAGAAGTCCATGGAGGACTGTCTCCCATGGGAGGGACCCCATACTGGGGCAGGGGAAGAGTGTGAGGAGTCTTCCCCCTGTGGAGGAAGGAGCAGCAGAGACAACACATGATGAACTGACTGCAGCCCCTGTTCCCTGTCTCCCTGCGTTGCTGATGGGTAGGAGATAGAGAAAATTAGGCACAATATTAAGCCCAGGAAGAAAGGAGGAGTGGGATGAAGGTGTTTTTAAGAGTTTATTTTCTCATTACTCTACTCTGATTTCATTGTTAATAAATTAACTAACTTTTGATCCTACACGAAGCATGTGGTCCCCATGCAAATTTATAAAAAACATTCCTTCCTCCCATCACTTTTGCCCAATGTTGATACCAAGCAGAACCTGCTTAAATACTGCGGGCAGGATTTGTGCTACCAAACATAAGCTGTTCATGTTAGCAGCACAAGCTTGTCACTGTGTGCAGAGATGGAGGAGATAGATTGCCCTCTGAAAATGCCTCTATCCCTCTTCTGATTGTAAACATGAAAACAGCCAGAAGGGACTGTTGCAGTCATCCAGAATGAATGAGGTGAATCCCACTTTCTGTTTCTGGCTGTAGTGATCTGTTTTTTAAAAGGGCATAGAATCCTTCTGGTTTCCAGCTTGATCAGATGCCAGTGTGCTCTGAGAGTCTTTAATAGTCCAAGACAGAGGGGAGGAGCTAGCAGTGAAAAGGGGAGACAACTCTCAAATCTTTGTATTTTATTTATAAGAATATGTACATGTAAGTATATGTAATAATACAATACTAGTACGTGTCAAGATAGTAAATATGAGGCAGTACATGTAAACTATGAAAAGAAACATTGCATTGTGTCAGTACCTAAAAGGGGCCTGTGAGAAGGCTGGAGAGGGATTTTTTGCAAGGGCGTGTAGTGATAGGACAAGGGGCAGTGGCCTTAAGCTGAAGTGAGGGAGAATTAGGCTAGATACTAGCAAGAAATTCTTTACTGTGAGGGTGGTGAGGCACTGGAACAGGTTGCCCGGAGAAGTTGTGGATGCCCCATCCTTAGCAGTTTTGGACAGGGCTCTGAGCACCCTGGTGAAACCTAATGAAAGGTGGCAGTGGGGTTGGAACTATATGACCTTTATAGCCCCTTCCAACCCAAACCATTCCATGACTGTGTAATGGCAAGGGCGGGAGTTGAGCAGTTAAAGGATTAGATCTACAAGGAAGAAGAGGGTGTATATGGTTAAATTACATGGGATACCAAGGTAAATTAACAAAGGCATGCCTAGACCAGTAAAAGCAGGAAAACTTACTGCCATAGGAAGAGTTGTAGTGAGCAAAGAGATGGTTTCCTGCATCTTGATATGAGTCAGTCCCTAAATGCAACAAACTGAGAAATACTTTTGTCCTGTGGACAAGTTACTTGATGATTAGTAAGAGGTTAGGATGTTTTGCACATTTTCCCGAGACATCTACTGTGGATGACTGACACAGAACCAAGAATTCTGTATTATGTACAGTAATTTGGATAGGTAGTCTTTTTAATGCGTACCAAGCAGGCAGATAGGCAATACTGATACTATTTAAGCTATTTAAAAATGTCATTAAACTTTCCATCTGTAGGCAATTCCAAAATGTAAGAATGAAGTTAGTTTAAAAATTATGATATTTAAGTAAACATACTTACTTGATTTATTCACTCTTAATCAGTAAAGTTTGTTCTCAAACATGAAAGTTTTCCAGCCTTGATTATGGTAGGAAGAAAACTTGGTGAGTTGTGAGTATTGTATGCTATCAGCAGTACTACAGGAGCAGGAGAGAAAGGCCAAATAATTTGAGACTTCTGTGTCTGGTGCTTAAATAAATTGTGTCAACCTGAAGTGTAAACATATATTAAGGGTGCTTTTATCATTGAGGAAAGCTGATCAATCATTTGGTTCTCACTGGTTTCAGAGTTTTACTTTGTTTCTTTACATTTCTTTCTTATTTTTCAGATGGAAATACTGACATGAATTTAAGAACTTTGATGCTTTCAGACATTGAATTTTGATTGTTAAACGATCAGTTAAAAATACTGCCTGAACAAGATGAAATGCCTTGAAGACTTTTGGTTCTGCTTTCATTTCTCCTGAAGCAATGGTTTTCTCAGCAATGTTGACGCTGGCCCAGTCTGGGACCTCAAATGCTACTTTTATTGTCTATGAAAATGCCTATACGAATTTTACCACTCCCCAGTTCTTGCTTCATAGTGGCACAACACAGCCACTGAGTTATAGTTCAGGTGTTGTGCTCACCACTGAGAGAAGTACTTTTCTGGTAAACACTACAGCTATCCTGCCGTCGCAAGAAGTTTTCAGGAGCTTGAGTTTGCCACTCCAGATCATTCTTTCTGCTGCTATGATATTTATCCTATTGGTTTCTTTCCTTGGAAACTTTGTTGTCTGCCTCATGGTCTACCAGAAGGCGGCTATGCGATCTGCAATTAACATCCTCTTAGCAAGCCTGGCTTTTGCAGACCTGCTGCTGGCAGTGCTGAATATGCCATTTGCTCTTATAACAATCATTACCACTCAGTGGATTTTCGGGGATATATTTTGCAGAGTTTCTGCCATGTTCTTTTGGCTTTTTGTCATAGAGGGGGTAGCCATTCTTCTCATTATTAGTATTGACCGATTTCTTATCATAGTTCAGAGGCAAGATAAACTGAACCCTTACCGTGCAAAGATTCTCATTGTGATTTCCTGGGCAGCATCCTTTGTTGTTGCTTTTCCGTTATCAGTAGGGAATCCTAACCTGCAGATACCCTCGAGAGCACCTCAGTGTGTTTTTGGCTACTCTACAAGCCCAGGTTACCGAGCCTATGTGATAGTTATCTTGCTAATTTCTTTTTTTATTCCCTTCCTGGTAATGCTGTATTCTTTTATGGGCATACTCAACACCGTCCGCCACAATGCAGTTCGTATCCATAGCCACCCTGATAGCATATGTCTCAGCCAGGCCAGCAAACTTGGTCTCATGAGCTTGCAGAGACCTTTTCAGATGAATATTGATATGAGCTTTAAAACTCGTGCCTTCACAACCATCTTGATTTTATTCCTTGTCTTCATAGTCTGTTGGGCACCGTTCACCACTTACAGCCTTATTGCCACGTTCAACAGCCACTTCTACTACAAGCACAACTTTTTTGAGATAAGCACTTGGCTCCTTTGGCTCTGCTACCTCAAGTCTGCACTGAACCCACTGATTTACTACTGGAGGATTAAGAAGTTTCATGATGCATGCTTAGACTTGATGCCCAAATTCTTCAAGTTTCTGCCACAGCTACCTGGCCATACGAGGCGGCGCATTCGACCCAGTGCCATCTACGTGTGTGGGGAGCACCGGTCGGTGGTTTGAAACTGCGGCTCTTTGACGATGATTGTTGCGGTTTGGAATTATTTTCAGGCTTTAGGTTGAATTTTGTCTTGTTTCATATGGCTTTTTTGGTATGGCCGTTATCTTATAACTTGATTTAATTTTCCACTACTCTGTGCAATTTTGGGAAGAAAGATAGAGGGAAAGAAAGTGATTGGTTATAGTTGGGTTTACTACCGGAATACAGTGTAAACAAAATAACAAATGTTACCTCTGGGATTCCATGGAAATCCATTCTTTTAAATGAAAACTGCATTTGTAACATTTTGTCAGGTTTATGCTTACTAGGCCTGCAATCTAATTGTAGGGACTTTTTATGCTGCTAAGATATGGTGTATATAGTTGGTGTAATTTTTCTGGAAAATGTTGCTGCTGTCTGCCAATTTATTAGAGCCAAAAAGTCTCATTAGATTACTTCTATTTAATTTAACAATATTTCAGAAGTTTTCATGATAACATTAGAAAACTTTTTTTAGTATTTCCATTAATATTTTTGTGCACTTTACAGAATTTACTATATAATTTGTTCATTGGAATGTTTTGTTCTGTATTGAAGGTGTATTATTATTGCTGTTATTATTATTTGTTATGTTGGTGAATTTCAGTGAAAGACCCATGTAAGCTCTAGGAGGGCAATTTATGTTGGTATAGCTACATGTACAGTCATAAATTTGCTGTTTTACTAACAATTGGTCAAAAGTAACATTAACTGCTCAGTTTTCAGGGGAGTTAGAAGGAGAAAATGGAGGAATGGAAGGGAAAGAGAGCAACAAAAATTCCATGACCTGAGGTTTAGGCTAACACACGATTTAGTAAAACAGTGTTCATGTGAAAATTATTATGAGGTAAAGGGTGATTGTAGTTGTTACTTGAGGCTGTTACAAGCTGCTCAAACCTGATGATATCCCTGAAAACCTATCTGAAATAGTGATTTTTGGGCCTGCAATTTATACTGTGTTTTTGTAATGATGTTTCTGCTCGGAGCTTGTGTAAGGCTGGGTATGCTCTACCATGTTGAAATCATTCTGTCAGGCTTTTCGTGGGATAAAATTAGAAATATTAGGGTAAACCAGAAAAGAGATGGCAGATAACCCATAGCTGAGGTTAGGATTTAGTCTACATAGTAATTACAGGAGAAGAAAAAATCCTCAACTTGCTTCTTTTACAATTTAAGTGTTGGATCAAAACCATAAAGAGACAATCACAGAATCATGGAATGGCTCAGCTTGGAAGGGATCGTAAAGCTCATCTAGCTCCAACTCCACTGCCATGACAGATGCCTTCCACTAGATCAGGTTACTCAAAGCCCCATCCTCCCTGGCCTTGAACACTTCCAGGGATGGAGCATCCACAGCTTCTTTGGGCAACCTGTTCCAGTGCCTCACCTCCCTCACAGGGAAGAAGTTATTCCTGTATCTTATCTAAATCTACCCTCTTTCAGCCATGACCCCTTATAACAGTCAGCCAGCAGACTTTGCTGGGGATGTAAGTTAAATTCCCCTTTTCCCTCTGATACTACTTTTTACACTAATTTTTTTTTCATTGCCTCTTTGTCTCTGTAGTGGCTGCTGCCTTAAGGGTTTACTCTCTTGTTCTCATCTATTAGGCATCAGCTTCTCTTCCTGAAATGCCAAACTACCTTTCTGATTAATGTCAGGTTGTCTCGGTACCTGCCTGGAAAGCAGAAAGGCAAAGATTTTCCTTAATGATGGCAAACCAGATTTTTTTGTTTGGTTGGTTGGTTTTTCTTTGTTTTTGTGTTTGTTTGGTTGGTTTGTTTTTTTGGTCTTGTTTTTGTTTGTTCTGGTTTTTTTTTTTAAATCAGCTAAATAAATATTTATTATGAGATAAGTAAAATTAAGACTTAGGTTTGGGCTTTGAAGCCAGATCCCCAGTTGCTTTGAGGCTGAGGAAAAATGCCTGTAAAATTGTGTGTCCTTGCAGTGAGCTTTCTGAGCCCATGACTTAGAACAGGGTACAACCAAACCTAACAACCAGAGCTAGAATTTGGGCTTCTCTTGCTTCCATCTCTCTTTCAGAACCCCAAAACATGGGGGACCTCGTCATTGTTGTTGTACCTGAGGAGCAGATAATAGCAGTTTGATCTACTTCTGTCTATCCACACAGTACATGTTTGCATGAAGAAAATGCCTTGTTCTCTGTGGATGTCCGGGGACTGCTTGCTTCCTGAGGACAACAAAACATTCACACCCCAATGTGAATTCTTCTTCAGTGAAGAGCTAATTTATCTCTGTTCTTCTCATTGACAGCTGTTGGTAAAAGTGTTGACAGTATTTAAATTTTAGGAGCATAAAAGGAACAATTTTCAATTTAGTAATTTCATTTTTTAAAAAAAGTTACTAGCTGAGGTTGCGGGTTACATGTGAAGTTACATGTTGCCCAGCAGTGGTGGTGTTATTGATGTCCATGTTTTCCTTTCCTTGTCAACTTAACTGATGAGTGTTTGGATTTTTCTGATTGAAATGATAGACAGTAAAAGACTTCCACTATAAAAGAGAGTGTTTTAGTGTGTCTTTGCAGTAAAGCTTTTATTTTCCAATTACATTTACATTGATAGCAGAAGTTTTATGACCTAGTTAGTATGGATTTTCTGTTTCAGAGCTGTCATGCCTGTTTATCTCTGAAAGCAGCAAAACTGTGCTTAGAGTTAAAGTAATAGAGAGCATACACTGTCTAAATGGCAGGAACAGGTATTTTTGCTGTCTTCCAGCGCTACAATGTAAGAGATTTGAATGAGTGTTGTAAAACATAATAACTCAAGGAGGAAAGAATATGAGTAATACAGGAAAGATAGTGAAATTACTTTCTTGAAGGAGGAGGGGAAAACATATTGTGGGGGTTTCTCAATCTCCGATAAGTACTGGCTGTGAAGTAGAAATTGCAAACATCAAAGGCAGTTAATTTGTTTTGTTAATAAAGTGTTTGCTTACACTGACTGCAACAAGGTTTCTCCTCAGAGCTGCATCTGCTGATCCTTGGAGAAAAGAAACCCAAATCGCTGGCCCATATTCAGAGGTGATTTACATAGTGATACAGTACTCACACCAGTTTTTTTGAGGTGATCAGAGCATACAGTGAACAAAAGGGTGTTCAAAAATCAAGGTGGTTTAGAAGTATTCCCAGGGTAATTATGTGTTTACAGATCTATTTGAGCTATTGTGTCTAATATACATCTCTAGAGCAGTGCCTTGATAATTGCACCTGAAGTCCTAACACCAAGTTGAAGACCTCTAAGCTGCTCAGTCTTGCTGCCTGTGATCCTGCCAGGGATCCTGCATAACCATGCTAACATTTGTAATGTTAAAACATAAACGTGTTGGCGGAATTTGGGCTACTGAGGCATTTTAATGGGCTTGACCAAGACCAAGGATTTTAGAAAAACTCAAATAGATCCTTCTTGACTCTGTGTGGGAATTATAATTTTCTTCCTCTCCAGAAATGAGTCATTACTAATCTGTATTCCTTCATGTTACATTTGCAGACATCTTTGGTGTGGAGGATTTAAATGAATGTATTTTGAATTATGTTGCAGTTTAATTCATTCTGTCAAAGCATGCTGCTTACACAGTTCTCAATTGTACAAATCTATTGATGAAATGATTCTTTTGTACTCAAAGTTGTGTATTTTTGACATTTCTTGTTATTCATGTAAAATATTTCTGTATATAGAGAAAAAAATTGGTTTGCCTCTTATTGCTTTCTGTTACTATTTTTTTTTCACTTGTATGCTTAATGCTTTCATATTTTATTTTGGGAATATGCATAAAAAACCTGTAAGATTTCAATGATTTTTCTGCAACCATTTGAGATTTCTAATTCTCAAATCATTCAATAATGCCCTCCTTGAAAGAGATTTTAATTTATTTTTGTGTGAAAGCTAAAAACTCAGAGCACAAGTTTTTGTTGTGGTTAGAATGGTGAGAAATATCTTAAGTCCAGTTTTCCAGGAGCCAGGATGAACTGGCTTGACTTTTTTTTTTTTTTTTTTGAGAAGTAGTCCTTTTCTGATGTGGAGAAACCATGAACTACTGTTTTAAAACAAGCTGTTAAGTAGAATGGCATTGTCTTTTCTGTACATATTACACCTGTGAAAACACCTGAGAAAATAAACAAACAAAAAAAGAAAATAAACATAAACATTCTCCAAAAAGGCAGCAAAAGTCTTTAGAACTGACTCTATGTTTGTATATTCACAGGTTTCTTGGATTTAATGCCCAACTTCATAGTCTCAAACAATTTATTTTATCTGTATATTAAATAACAAAGTTTGCCTGATGTAAGTGGTTTTGTTTAAGCCAAAATTATTCTCATGTACAGCATTTAGAATGCTCTTTTCTGAACCACGGGGGTGGTTCAATTTTCAATTGAAAATAGTACCTAAACCAATTGAAATAGTATCCACCAAGTAGAGAGGATACCTAAAAAGAAAATAATGTTCCTAAAATACTACCTGAACTGGGTGTACTACCTTTTAGTTTGGACTGAGTAATTAAGATCATCTTATTCTGCAATAAATAAACCAGGCAGTGGTAATGCATGGCAAGATTCATATCAACACAAGATAGTGACCTTTATGATTCAAGTGCTGCATGTTTGTCTATGACAGATATTAGAAGAGCAAAAAATGTTCAGCATCGTGGCTGTTTTGGGGAAATCTTTCAGTTTGCTAATGATTTAGCAGAAATTCTCCTGGAGCAACTTCTCTAAATGCTGAAGTCAAAGACATGTCACTAAAGAATACCTGAGAGGGGATGGGTGTTTCTGGTTGCTTGGAAATGGCTTTTCTCAGCTGTCCACATGCCTGATGGTGAGACTGTACCTCTGCAACAATCACTTTTTTCTCTCTCGTCCTCTCCTCGTCGCCCCGACCTTCCTGAAGCAGCGCCTTCTGCACTGCTGTGTTACAACAGGTACAGTGGGTGCAGGAGGAGGTGGAGGTGCCTGGAGAAGCTGTACAGCCAGCAAACCTCTCTACTCTCTCCTGCCGTGAGTTCAGGTTGGACTGAACAGGAACACATATATTTGCCTGTAGTACAAACATATGTGCAATATCTAGCACTCCTGCTAGTGCAGGATTCTTGTTTTATCCCCAGTAATGTTACAGGCTTTATTTCACGCTCATCTTTTGGAGCCCAAGCTACATCTCTCTATAGCCAATTCATGACTGAGTAAGAATCCCTTAGCTGACTTGTGTCTCTGTGAGTGGTCTGGGCACAGGATCTGCCAGTGAGCTTCCACCATAACAGAAGTTCCTACAGCTTGCTCTCAAAGAAAAATGGCATTCATGAAGAAAACCACAACTTTGCTCAGACAGGAGGGGAGTAACAGCCTTAAGTTAGTGACTGCATTGTATGGTGGACGAAAATGTGAGTTTTAATGGGACTTCTTAAGTACCCCTTACAGAGAGAGTTTTTAAAATTTATTTATGGATATTTATGCACAAACTGTTGGGTTGTGTTGTTCTACCTACAGTGAATGCAGCTTGATACCAAATCACTAACAGTACTGCTGAGAAGTAACATAGTATTCATAAATACCAAAGTAGAGCATGTTCCTGGTTTATATTATTATCCTGTCTAGATAACCATCTTTGCTGGTGTGTGGGCGCAGAACACAGCAATAATGAGACATATTCCTTGTATAATTGGTGCTCTGCCTTAAATAGATTACTGCAATCCAAACCTCTGCGGTAGACCTGAAATAAAATTAAACCTGTCCACTCACCAACATGAGTAGGAATTCCACCAACACTGCCCTGTCTGCTGAAGGAGAATGTCTAGTGAAATAAATGACAATTCCTCCAAAAGTCAGTTTATCTGATCTCCAAAGGTGATGTAATCACAGGTGCTCTAAGTTTAACAATAGCTTCTTTTGATATACTGGGTATAGGCTCTGTGTCAAAGACAGAGGGGAGAGTTTGGTGGTTGAGGGTATTCCCTAAACAGCCAGGATGGCAAGAAGGAACCTCTGGAGCTCACATGAAAATCTCAGGGCTGTAGTTTAAGCCCTGCTGTTCTTTGGGGTGTCAGTGCTGCCTTTTTCTGTAAAAGTAATTCCTCTCAAAGGAAGAGAGATGAAGTGACATCTCTTCCACCATCTCCTGCTTCTTAATTGACACTTAAACTGTGAAAATAATAATTCTGAATTTGGCTCCCTGGACTTGGATTTCCTTCCCTTCTTCACTGGAGAAGATTTCAGGCTGTCATTTATCAGCCTGTGTGCTGTAGTCTGTTCCAGAGGAGATGGGAAGAAAGTGAGAGGTTGTGCTCCAGCCACTGTTTGATACAATGTGGTGTAGAGTTTCACAGTTAGGCTGTCAGGAGAGCAGCAGTGCAAGTCAGGTTCTCCCCATCACATGCAGTAACTACCCCAGCCCAGGTGTGTCTCGCTTCTGCTGAATATTTAATTACTCTGTTGAAATTGAAACAGCTTTTACAGGGTGGGCGAGGGTCCCCTTTCTATTCTTACCTCAGATTAGGTAATAATCCACTGATTAAAGCATTGAGGAGAGACTGTTTAAAATCCTCTGGGATCCTGAGAACAACTGAAATCATGTCTCCTTCCTAAATATTTTCACTACTGGGTTATGAGGTTAGGGGAGTGGTCTATCGGGACTTTTGGGTTCATTTATGGGAGTTTTTGCAGACTTAGCCTTAGCTATTGACTGAGCTCTGAAAATGCCCATGGCTGGGCCTTCTCGTGGCATAAATAATGTAAAGCCTGTTTTGTAAATTCTGGTTTGAGATAGGCCTGGCACTGTTCATTGCCATCAGTGCTGCAACACTTCTGGATATATGCAGAAGCAGACCTCCCTGATGAGACACATCTGTGATATTTTGGCATAGACAATTCCACCGATCACTTGAGGCTCCTTTGCAGTCAGTGGAGCTGAGTGGATGTTTTCAGGTTTTTAGATCTTCTGGCAGGTTACCTTCCAAAAGGAGTGAGAGAAACAGCCCAAAAAAGCCCTAGACACTTTTTTTAAAAATTTCTGATGATAGCTGCGCTGGACAGAAGATTGTTAATCTTAAAACTTGATTCACTTCCTCTTGTGCTGCTTCGTCAATGAAGTGTGAAATTCCTGCACTTTTAACCATGGTGTGGATTTTCTCCTGCAAAGTTATACTGGGCTCAGTTTGGTCCAAGTTGTTTGAAGAAGTAGAGCATTTTGCCTCTATGTGAGAAAACTTAGAGATTTGGCATTGCTAAACTAGAATGTATTGCCCTTGTACCTTTAATTACTTGGTCTTTGATTTTTCATGTTCCAGTGTAGAAAAGACTTTATAGAGTCAGTTCTAAAATTACCCAGCCTTCTAGCATGATTTTTAAGTTCTGGTAATTATTCCATTTCTGTTATGTCAAATTTAGAAATGCAGAATGCATCATTGCATAGGCTGAGCTGCTCTCCTATCTATTTCGTTAGACTAGATAGAGGGAGCAATGCAAAATTTATAGGACTAATTTTAAAGTAAGAAGGAAGCCTAGGAACACACTTGAGGGGGCCTCTGACCCTCCCAGTGAGAATCTGCAGCAGTTCTGGTGCCCTTCTGGTCTTTATCACACAACAGGAGTACTTTTAACTAAAGCAGGTCTTTAAGGAAAAATAAAATTTCTAAAAGCATTTTATATTTGAGATGTTTTTTTAAGAGGTGCTTTTGTTAGCACAGTTATTAATTTGTGTGATTTATATTACACAGGAGGCCAGACTACATGACTGCAGTAATTTTTTCTGGCTTTATTCTGTATGAGAGGCTGATTCCACTTATATAGAACTTCACTTTATTAGTACCATTGTCAAGGTGAGCCTGACTATTGATAGACACAATCTCAAACATAATTTAAGGGGCACAAAGAAATGGCTCTTTCAAGAGGGCCATTCATCTTAGGTCAACATTGGTGGTACTTGATTCTGGAAAGCTTGCTTTTCTAATCAACTTTCTTGGAGGAATTCATTATCTGAAAACCTGTGACTAATGAAAGATGTTTTGTTCTTTTGAAGTTCAAGCTAATTTCCATGAAGATTACTACTACTAAGCAACAGACTGTCTCCTGAGGGGCTGAAACTGCAATATGATCAAAAAATAAAACACAGTGCAAAGAATGATGAAATATTATCCCCAGACACAGAGGCCACATGTAGTACCATGTCCAGGGCTTGTTTTGGAGTCTTCTTCCTTGAAAGCTGTTCGACCAGTGGGAAAACTCCTGTGGGAGCAAAAGATCATCATGAACCATCTACAGTGAAGGGAAAGCAAGGTACAGCCTCTACTCAAACATAGAGATGGAGCAGAGCATGACCAAAGGGGAAAAAACCAGTCCCAAATATATTTCAACATATACAATTCTTCTGAGAAAAGCAATCACCTGAAATATATCTTAGCCATATTAAAAGAAGAATAGTTATTCTAGTTGTGAGGAGAGAGTGAAATGAAATACAGGAGTGCTTTCTTGAGTCACGAAAGATGATGTCACCTTTTATGCAGCTTTGCGTCAGAGTTGAAATAAATATTTGCACTTTGCTTAAGTAAAATCCTCACCTGTATATTCAGCTCTTTGAGGACAGAGATTTAATTCTGTCTTCCTACTCTGCCTTTGTCCCCTGTCTTTGCTAAATGCAAGGTACAAATGATAGAGGATAAAGTGGGAAAACACAAAACTCCCCCAAGTACTTCCAATAATGTTTTAAGTGTCTGAGTAAGCTCCTTTGGTCTTGTCCATCCTTTTTTTGTATTCAGTTTGGGTAACTGTTTAAGTGGTGTAGTTTTCTAGCATAGAATTTGCATGAAATGAGTTTCAGTGTTTTTTCAATTGAATTCATAAATTTTTTGGCAATTAAAATATCAGTATTATATCAATATCAGTATCATATAACTTAACTCACTAATCATGGTATGTGTAGGATATGTAGGATGTATACAATCTGGAAATAAGTAAAAACTTCTAAATATTTGAGTTAAAAAAATTTCTTGTCATGAATGTCAAATTTCCAAAGATAGGAATAGAATGTCCAAAATAATTTTAGCACAGAAATCCAGATATTTTTTAGCTGCTCTGATCGTTATGTTCATGGTTTCTTTTTAACATAGTTGGGTTTGTTTTTATCACCGTAAAGGAATTTTTTATTATTATTCAAAGTTTTATAAAATGAGAGAAGTGAGGCACAAGAGACATTGATTTTTAAAGAAATGAAGAAGTAAACATAATCTCTATTTAGATGCTTCCCTATCCATGTAGGTATTGAGGGTCAGCAGGTGTCTACACTTACAAGCTACAGGAGATTGGTTCTTTGGCCATGCCTGGGAGCAGCTGTGTCCTTATCTTGCTATGATGTAGGTGCTTAAATCACAC